TTTTTTTTTTTTTTTAAGTTCAAATGACCACCAAAGCAGCTGGCTTTTCCTCAGCCTGCCACCCCATCCCAGTGACCCCATGTTTCTCTCAATCCACTCCTTAAAGACGACAATACAACATAAAAACGCTATTTTTCCTTCCTGCGACACAGACCATGTGAAAAGCTCGGCTGGGTCATCACAGGCATCGGAAAGCAGAACACAGAGCATCTGTTTTGCTATCCCGCCCCTTCCGAGCCTGCATCATTGACCGCGCCATCTGTCCACGTAGCAATCTGTCCACCGGTCCTCCTGGTTCAGCGAGTGCTTAAGCAGTCGGAACTGATAAGGGCAGGAGAAAGCATGGGCATGGAGTAAGAGACCAGTGGGGAAGAACGACACTGAACAGGCAGTCACACAAACTGTAATTACAAAGTACACTGCCAATCAGGAGGCAGAGGCGCCCAGCGCCGTAAGAGCTAGAGCAAGTCAGATGGGCCTGGAGATAGGAGTCAAGGACGGTGTCCCTGAGGAAGGGACCTCTGAGCTGAGAGCTGGGGTGAGCGCCCGTTATCAGCCAATGGATGGATGGGTGAGCACAGGGACAAGCATTCTAGGCAGGGACAAGTCTGTGCAAAGGCCCGAGGATGGCCCACTGATGTTCCCAGAGCCACGTACAAAAGATCTACTTCATTCTCCTTAATGACCAGGTAGGAATTCATCAGGTCTGTCAACGGCCTGAGAAGGAGATGGCCAGGTGGCTCAAGCATGGAGAACCAAGAGGAAGGACCGAGGGAGGGCCAGACCACGCAGGGCCTGGTAGGAAAGGAAGGACCTGTGGTCTTTATCCTTGGAGCATGGGCCACCTGGGACCCCAAGTGATCTGTGACTACCTGGGGCAACCTGAAATGTCACAAGCGAGACCCTATTTATGCAAAATGGCTAAAAAATAAAAGACCTCTGTGAAAGAGGCAGGAAGAATCCAGTATGAGAAAGTAGCTTATTAAATGTCTTTACACTGGGCACCTGAGTGGCTCAGTCAGTCAAGTGTCCAACTTCAGCTCAGGTCATGAATTCACAGTTCATGAGGTCGAGCCCCACCTAGGGCTCTGTGCTGGCAGCTCAGAGCCTGGAGCCTGCTTCAGATTCTGTGTCTCCCTCTCTTTCTGCCCTTCCCCACTCACGTTCTGTCTCTCTCTCTCTCTCTCAAAAATAAACAAACGTTAAAAAAACTAAAAAATAAATGTCTTTTCCATTACCATTAATACCTACTGAAAGTAAGTGAATTCAACCATTCCATAGGAAAGAGACTACTTCGTAAACTCGGTGCTTCCTCCCAAGCTGAGTGACTGTTTGTTCGTGCCAGGATTTACTCCTACTGGGATCTCAGTGTATTTCTCTATGTCGCTGAACTTCCCAAATGAAAATCCATGACCTCTTCCTATCACTTGGCTTAAGAAAAGACTTCTGGTCTACATGATACACCATCCCACCACCTTGTAAAGCGGTCAGCCTAAAACAGGCATTGGCAAAGGAGAGACAAATACCAAGCTCTGTCGTGACCAATCACTGAACTTGATCTATGCTAGCTGAGGACAGACACACAGGCAGCGCCACCCTTCTGCACACCTAAGTTCTATGTGCTATAAACAGACACGTTACGTACTATAAACTGGCCTTCGTCAGATTTTCTGGCCAACCGGAAGAGGTAAAGGGCTTGATAAATAAAGAACATTAGCTGTGTGAACTTGGGAAAGTCACCTAACCTCTGCGTCCGGGAGCCTCCATTTTATCACCTGTGAAGTGCTGATGGTAACTGCAGCCACTTTGTAGGTTTGGGAAGACTAAATGAATTAACGCGTGCCAATGGTTTCAACAGTGCCTGGCACAGAGTAAGGACTCAAGAGATGGCAGTGACGACTGCTATGTGACATGCATAAGAATCGGCCACAGGGACGCTTGTGGATAAAAAAGAGACACACACACACACGTACGTATACACTCTCGGGTCTTAAGCTTTAGGGGTGCAAGAACACGGAAGATTCTGAACACCAGAAAGAACTTACGCGATAAGCCTTTGACCCTGGAGGGCCGTGTGCTGCTGGAGCATCTCAAAGTTGTACTTCTCATCCGTGGCATGCTGGTCCACTATGAAGATATCTGCATTGAGTTTGGTGATTATAAATCCCAAGTTAAACTGACCAATGATCTCCATGTCTGCAAACATCGTTTTACTGCATGTGGAAAATGTTCGTTATGAGACATTGTGATTTTTAAAAGATTACTTTTCTGATTATAAAAGAGACTGTAACAGGAAAATGAACAATACAGAAACATAAACTAGAGAAAGTCCCTAATAATCCCGCTTTTAAAGGTAACATTAGTTATTCATTCGTTCATCCAGCTCCCCAGAGATGGCATCAGTAACTACTGTTCATTTGGTGTGTATGTTCCCCGACCTTTGTTTACATATTAAAAACAAAACAAAAAAAACCGGGCGTGCCTGGGTGGCTGGGTCACTTAAGCGTCCAACTCTTGATTTAGGCTCAGGTCATGATCTCAGGGTTCGTGAGTTCAAGACCCGCATCGGGCTCTGCGCTGACATTGTGGGGCCCGCTTTGGCATTCTGGGTCTCCCTCCCTCTGCCCCTCTCCCGCTTGCTATCTCTCTCTCATAATAAATATAAAAAAACCCAAAAATGGAATCATTCTTCAGGCCGTTCTACGCCCCTCCCTTAACAAGGCATCTTCAGTGCTTTTTCAGACCCATTCATGTAGATCTCCTTCATTCTTTCTAGTGGCCGTACGGGAGCTCACTGCGAGCACGTACCATAACCTGTCCGACAAATCCTCTACTGAACGACTTTCGGATGTTTTCATTTTGAGTAACGCAAACGATGCTGCAGCAAACGTTCATGGACAGAAATCCACTCTATTCTAGGGGTATTTCTGTACGATAAATCCCTGGATTTGTTAAGTGTGTAAAAGTGCCTTTTCACTAATCCTGGGTATCAATCCTTCTAACATCTGCCAAGCTCACGGACGGGTCCTTTGGTGGGTGGCTTCAAAATCCAATTCCATTCAGGACTATGTGCGTCAGTGCAGACAAGACAGATACCGCCACAGATCTTCACGTGAGAAAACAACATTGCCATTCTGTACCCCACACAACCAAATTTTGTGAAAATGGGTTTTCATGAGGATCAGCCCTGTGGTGTTCAGACGGGACTCGAGCTGAGACCTGAGATGGTCCTTTCTTTCTGTGAGTGCTCCAGAGCAGCGAGGAAGATCCCTTCCACACCACAGCACCCACCTGGGCTCCCGTGGGACTTGCTTTGCTTGGAGCTCTGCCACAGTCAACCGCGGGTGATGGTCTGACAGCGACACCTCCGTGTGCCATGGATTACTAAGCTCCCATTTCCTATTGGCAAGGAGCTCACACTGAGCTCAAGTCCAAGGTCAGGACCAAACGAATCCCCAAACCCTGTCTGTGAGGATGCGTCTCCTGGGACCATTCCCTGGTAGTAATTTCGTGTCAGAGTCCAATCAAGACACAAAAACCACACCAGCGATTTGAACAGAGGAAATTCATAACCAGGTATGGTAAACTAGTAGAAGGTAATTAACTACTTAGCTAAGAAACACAGGGGTAGCAAACAGAGTGAGCAATGCTGGGCCTCCTGCTGGCAGCTGCCTTGTAGGAGGAAAAGACCTGGGCAGCCAGAAGGAAGGAGAGGCCGGGCTCCTGTGCTTTCTCGCGGCGTCCCTCTACCTCCCCCTACTGACAAAGTCTAGAAGTGCACCAGCAGAGATGCTCACATGGTCCAGCCTCAGAGATTGCAAAGTAAGGAGCCTACAGTGGATTCCAACTGAGACGCAACACACCTGTAAGCAGCACCAACACCAAGTCCCTGGCTCTGGTTCCCCAGATAGAGTCCCCGTGGGAAGAACTTGTACCGGCCTGAAGACACAAGCATTCTGTCTCTGCAGGTGTACCTCCCACCGTAAACTTAAAAAGTAGCATCAGGCTCAAACAACGAAGAAGAAACCAAACTGTACGACTTGCTCTCTTTGGTTATAACTCAAAATAGAAACACAAAAGCTGGTAAATGCTACCACGGTATTTCAATTACTGCCTCATCTTCCGCTCTGGACATGTCTCAGGAAAATCATCGGCAGGATAGCTCAGAACAAAAGGCGTTTCAGCAGCCGTGCACCGAAGGCCAGATGCCAATGCCAGGCCCACTGTAGATCAGCGTTTCTCAAAGGGAGCACTTGGGGTACCTGGCAAAAATGCAGATTCCTGGGCTCCACACCCACGATCTACCGCATCTACTGAAATAGAATCTCCAGAGGCTGACCACGGGTTCTGCTTTCTGAACAAGCATCCTAAGCGGTTCTTTTGTGTTCCCCAAATTCGAGAACTACCATAACATGGGATCGATGAATATTTGTTGAATTAAAATCACTGCTTTTAAAAATTACAGTTGATTTCACTCGCTGAGAAGGCTAAAAGCATCCAGAGTCAGATGCCTGGGGGGGCTCAGTCAGTTGAGCGTCCGACTACTGATATCAGTTCAGGTCATGATCTGACGGTCTGTGAGATCGAGCCCCGAGTCAGACTCTGTGCTGAGCCTGGAGCCTGCTTGCAATTCTATCTCTTTCTTTCTGCCCCCTCCCCACCCTCCGTTCATGTGTGCTCTCTCTCTCTCTCAAAAAAAAAAAAAAAAAAAAGAACCCAAAGAGAAAGCATAATTACTTTGCCTTTTGGGCACCTTACAGGTCTTTCTCCATCAAGCACGTGTTCCATGATCGTGCATGTAAGCCAGGAGCCCAGCTCTTCACTGTGTCCCTGAGCGTTCACAGGCCCCAGACCCCACCCAAAGATGTTCACCCCCCCCTTTATCACACACAATTTAAAGGAACTATTTCCTATGGTGCCTGAGTGGCTCAGTCAGTTAAGCACCCAACTAGTGATTTTCGATTCAGGTCATGATCTTCAGGCCCCGCAACAGGCTCCACACCATCAGTGCTTGGGACTCTCTCTCTCTCTCTCTCTCTGCTCCTCCCCTGCTTGTGCTCTCTTTCTCTGTCTCTCAAAATAAGTAAACTTTTGGAAAAAGTAAATAAATGAACTATTTCCTAAAAACCTTACCCAATGTTAGGCACCATGAATATCAAGGGAACTATCTAACGTAACGCTTGCTGTTGAAGAACTGATTATCAAAATCAGGCAAAGCCTGTGCAGTCCAAACCAAAAGTGCCATAAAATTTCAACATAATTACTGGTGCTCTGTGTATAGGACACAGCACATTTCAGTATCTACTGAGACAAAACATATACAATGCTTTAAAAAGATCAAAGTTAAGGGGCGCCTGGGTGGCTCAGTCGGTTGAGCCTCGACTTCGGCTCAGGTCAGGATCTCGCAAACTGTGAGTTCGAGCCCTGTGTCAGGCTCTGTGCTGACAGCTCAGAGCCTGACGCGGGGCTTGAACTCACGGACCGCGAGATCGTGACCTGGCTGAAGTCGGACGCTTAACCGACTGCGCCACCCAGGCGCCCCTCAAAGTTAAATATTTCAAGAGAAGTCATCGTTTTTAGAAGTTACAATGTTGTACGTGATTACTGTCAAGAAAGTGGTGGTGACCAGTGTTTTCTGTTATCAGTATTAACAGTTTTCTTGAAATTGACTTTCTTTTTTCCTTAACCCTACCCTACACAATCTTCTGGAAATCGCAAGTTTGATAATAAATTATAATTTTTCCTAATATGCATTAAAATGAATCATGGGAGGGGTCCCTAGGTGGCTCAGTCAGTTAAGCGTCCAACTTCAGCTCAGGTCACAATCTCACTGTTCGTGGGTTTGAGCCCCATGTCGGGCTCTGTGCTGACAGCTCGGAGCCTGGAGCCTGCTTCAGATTCTGTGTCCCCCTCTCTGGCCCTCCCCTGCTCGTACTCTGTGTCTCTCTCTCTCAAAAATAAATAAACATTAAAAAAAAATTTTTTTAATGAATCATGGGAAATAGTAATGTCCACTAAAACCTCCATGGATTCAGTGCAGGGAGGAGTCACTGTGAAACCTGGGGGAAGAGGAATGAGATCGGGGTTGAGGAGGCCCTGATTAATTTGAACTCAATGGACAGGATGTGCTAAGAAAATCTAAGGAAACAATTCTTGAAAGGTTTCACCGAGAAAGAGCTCTTTAAAGAAAATTAATTTGATGCATATGAGGGGCAATGAAAACGTAGCGAGTGGAAACAGCATCACCAAGGATGCACCGGTAGGGCTAATGAGCAATCCACAGAGTGGAAACAGACTCCCAAATTAGAATCTTCGAGGAGCACAGAGAAGGCAGAGAGAAAGGGGGGCTGGGAGAGGGGGAGACAGAAGCTTGGGAAAGTGTGACATCAGGAGATGTCACGTCTGTGGTGCAGAGAAGGCCCCCAGGGAGGACCGTCCTGACAGCCAGAGGAGCAAAACCAGGGCCTGGAAGGACCAGCCTCGTCCCCTCCCAGCAGCTCATCCTATGAAAGAACGTTACCTTATCTCCTTTCTCAGTTCATCTTCGGCGGCTTGGTTTTCTCCGGGGCAGATCTTTGCCCTGAACTTCCTGTAATTCTGTTCGCCTTCTTGTGGCCTTTCTTGGTGACGTAACTGCTTTATTCGTGCCGCTAAAGACCGCATGGAAAAGGCCAGGGGCACTACTTTCTTACTGATTTTAACAGCCACGTCGACCTGAGACGCTGACGCGTTCTGCGCAGTCACCAACCCTTGGGGGACGTCAGGATTCAAAGGAATGCCGTCTTTTTTGAAACGCCGTGTGCTTGGGGAGGACGCATCTACGGGCGGAGGCGAGACCCTATGTTGACGTCCACCGTCCTCGTGATTGGAACTGCGCTCCGTGTCTGCAGGGCGACGGTCAAGTTCAGGCAACTTCTCAGAAGCTTCCG